ATGATGACTTTTTATCGCCAGGTTCCCTTATTAAACCTGCCATGTTCCAAATTAAAGGAAATTTGGGTATAATGTTAGTAATATGGTCCATTCGTACGTCTGTGTCACTTTCTTCTTCAAACTTTTTTTTTTATTTTTAAGCAAGGACACATTTATATTTTGGATTGATGTGTTGTCCTGTATATGTACTGCAAAGTTTTGGATTTTTGATATTCCCCAGGGGCAAAATCGGGCAAGACATTTTTTTTTGTTTCCTGCAATTATCTTGTTTTCAAAACTCCCATTGCTTTTTACCCTGTAGCCTATTGATCTTTGTTAGATAATTGGTGGTGTCCTGTAGATGTGCACTATACTGACGTACATACCTATATGTATCACAGATATTTTTCATGCAAATCTTGCAGAACGCGGAGACCGGTCAATCAGATGAGACCGTACAAACTGAGGTCCAGTGTCGCAGGCACAAAATGATCTCTCAGTGGCAATATTGCTCAATTGCCCTCTGTGCCAAGTATAGCTCTAATGTAGCTCTTCAGCGACAATCCGTGGCTCTTATTCCTCTCCCTTTAAAGTGGAGAGCCGCTGCTCAAGACGTCATTTTTAACTTTGGTTAAAAACGTGTGCAGGAGGGGGAGTCCACTATTTTTAATTTTAAAACTAGGAAAAGCCTGTTTTGCTTCCTTTAAGGTGATTTGTACCTCTGTATCTTGGTCTTAAATTGATTCCACGGACATGGCCATGATAATGTCTTCGTATAGCTGGTTATATATCCTGATGGTGGTAGGAAAGTACGATTCCTTGTAGATGTTAGTATGGCAGAATGGATCCTGCTACCGTGTTGGTGACCTCATGTGACTATTCCTGTTTGGCTGAATTTTTTTTTGGGGGGGGGGGCAGTTCTATAGCAATAAGGGAAAGGACAAAACGATACATCACGGTAGTCTTTGCTTTGAATCTGCATTGATGTTAGCTATCCCACTCTCTGCCTGTCAATGAACATTGGGACACTACTGCTGGTGTTGTAGTTATCAGTCACCAACTTTGCACTCTTCTCTGCACTGCTTCTATTTTGTCGATGTTTTTCTTAGTGTGAGGGTCCCAGACAGTGAATGCATATTCTACCTAGGGTCTGACCAATGTCTTGTAACTTTTGTCCTAAATGTTGCTTGGACACGTCGAGAAGTTCCTCGTCAGAAGGCGGTGGTGTTTGCCTTCTTATAAACACTATCAATATGATGGTTCCTCGATAGGTTGTTGGAGATACTGACCCTAAGTTACTTGACCTTGATGGTTACGGCCAGTTCCTTCCCGTGGATGTTATATGGAGTAATGTGTTGTTTCTGTTTGGTGTTGATTCGGATAATTATCTGACACTTTTCTTGGTTAAAATGCATGAGCCAGTCTAATTCAAAATTTTGAGATTGTCAAGGTCCATCTGGACTTGTCCGGCATTGGCCTCCCTAGTGATGGTCCTATACAGAAGGCAATCGTCCGCAAACAACCTGGCCTTGGATATCCCTCTGGCGGGTAGGTTGTTGATATATGCCAAGAAAAGCAGTGGGCCGAGGACCGTTCCTAGGGGCACTTCGGCTGTAACGGCCTTGGTTGGTGAGAAATGGTCCTCTACCAGTTCTCGTTGCGATCGATCAGATAACTCTGGACTTATCCAATTGAGAAAATTACATCGTATACCTTTGTGGTCTAGTTTGGCAAATAGCCTCTTATGTGGAACCTTGTCAAATGCTTTTGAAAGGTCCAACAGTTGTGTATTAACCTGGGCGTTGTCTTTAATACTCATGGCGAGGACCGGACCTGGATTGTTATTAGATGGTAAGGCTAATGTGATGCTCAAAGAAATTCATCAGATGGCTGTGGAAGATGAACTCGTACATGTAACTTACATCACATAGTCCGAAGTCTTACTCATGTCAACCTTCTTTGATAATGGCGAGACATTTGATTTTTTCCAGATCTCTTGCATTTGACCTTGGTCAATGGATGCCTGAAAAATGTTGGTGAGTACTGGTGTTACAGATTGAGCCATCTCTTTCATGAATCTAGTTGAGATATCATCTGAACCAATCGCGTTATTTGGGTTGAGACCTTTCGGAAGATTCAATACGCCCTATCCATGACTGAAATTAGTTGCCAATGGGATGTTATACCACAGAGTCTGACACCTCTGTTTCATCTTTGGATATTTTATACGTAAAAAACGTTAATGGTAAACTAACAACCGAGCTCTATTATAAATTTGATTACTTTATCTTTTCTATCGTCAACTTACCTTACCTATGCAGCAATATACCTTCGTCACCTGTATACGGAGTTTATGTATCTCAGTTGATTCGATACGCAAGAGCATTCTCTACGTTTGAACAATTTCTAAAACAAGGTACAGTATTGACACACAAGTTGAAGAAACAAGAATATCAACAGTCTCGTTTAAAGTCATCATTTCGTAAGTTCTACTGTCGATACAATGACCTTGTCAGCAAATACAATTTATCAGTCAAATACTGGCTGACGTTTTTCATACTTATTGTTAATCCATTATTTATACACTGAATTGACGAAGGATTTTTCCGTTATTTTCCGATCATGACAAGGAGCACACGGCGGGTGTGACCTATCGGCAGGGTATTCTCACTCCTCCATGGCACCTGATCCCACCTCTGATGTTCTTGAGGTCCGTGTTTGCTCTGCTCTTATTTTGTTTATAGACCTTTTATTCTGAATACTGTTCCTTATCTCCGTATGTTTTATTCTCGTGATGGATATATCCTAAAACTTCATAAAAATCCTTACAAACAAAGATACATAGCGGGTTCCAGTAAATGCTCAACCAAACCTCTTTCTTTACTCCTCACTAAGATATTAACAGAAGTAAAGGAGATGCCTCAAGAGTACTGTACAACAATATATTCAAGAAGTGGTGTAAATCAGATGTGGATACTTAAAAAATTCCAAGGAACTTTAAGACAATTTGAAATCACAAGATTTTACCAAAATTAGCAGCTTAAAAACTTATCTTTTCAACTTTATACACATCAATTCCCCATGATGAATAAAAATCCAGGCTTCTTGATATCATTGACAGCTGCTTTATCAATAAAAATGGAACTCGTAAATTTACTTACCTTGTCATTGGTCATTTGTAAAATTATATTTTATTAAAAAACGTTCTGATTGTACACACAAGCATTCTGATGTTGACATTAAAAAGATGCCTGAGTTTAATTCTGACAGTATGTGGTATTTTGAGACCAGGTCTTCCAACAATCTTTTGTATTTGTACCTATCACGCCCTATTATTAGAAAACCTATTTTTGTATTCATACCCTGGTATGAAGCAAAATTTGTCCAAAATCTTATACGTGAAAAGAAGAAAATACTTGCTGTCGCCTTCAACTCGACATTTAGGTATATCGACGACGTATTGTCAATTAACAACGGTATTCCAGTCTTATGTCGATACGATATATCCTCGTAAGCTTGAAAGATACCACAGAGTCTGACACAGTTGTTTTATATTTGGATGTTTTACTTGAAAAAGACGTCAATTGTAATCTAACAACCAAGCTCTATGGTAAACGTGACAAGTTTAACTTTACAATCGTCAACTTCCCTTGCTTATGCAGCAATATACCTTCATCGCCTGCATACGGAGTTAATATACTAGTATCTCATTTTATTCGATGCGCAAGAGCATGCTCTACATATGAATAATTTCTAAATGGAGGTAAATTATTGACAAGCAAGTTGATAAAAAACGAATATGAGCAGTCTCGTTTAGTCAGTGACCTTGTCAGTAAATACAATTTATCACTGAGTCAAATGCTGACCAGTCTGACGTTTCTCATACTAATTGTTATTCCATTATTTATACACTGAATTGACGACGGATGTTTCCGTTATTTACCGATCATGACAAGAAGCAAACGGCTGTTGTGACCGATCGGCAGGGTATGCTTACTCCTTCATGGCACCTGATCCCACCTCTGATGCTTTGGAGGTCCGTGTTTGCTCTACTCCAATTTTGAATTGTTTTATGGTCTTTTGATCTTGAATATCTCCCTTTGTTTCATGTATAGTCTTGGGAGCTGATCAATACTTGTGGCTCATGGAGAACTGAGAGTGCTTACTTCTCCTAGGCACGCGATCTTTTTTAATTTCCGAAGGTATTTTAAGCTCTTTTGAAAGATCTGTAGTTTTTATATTGATCTCTATTTGCTATTATTGCTCTAAAGCCACATTTTGAAATTTCTGGGTGTCTGTATTTTATGCTCTTTTAACAGATCTGTATAGTTCATAGATTTTTGTAGATCGTTCTCTGTTTTTTATCTTCTTCGTCTTTTTCAATTCTAAAGTGATGTTAGTAGACGAAACGTTGGTAATGTTAAAACAATGTACATGTATTCTAGCATGTAGAAAAGTAAATCCCGCTTTTTGCGTAGTTGATGTTCCTTACATTAGGATATACGGAATGTTGTTCAATAATGACTTCTGCTAGGTGCCGAAAGGAGCTAATCCTTATATCGCTGGTTTGAATCCACTGCGGGAAATCTTTCTGCAAGACCTGTGTCGCAGATAATGACAAGAAAAAGATCGCTCACTTCTCAATGACCCTAGGTGCCGAGCATATTGATCAAAATTTGCAGTCCTCCACCTGAAAGTGGTGGCATCTTCAATTGAGTGAAAAACTCCCGAAAGGGATATTAAACAACAAACAAACAATAACGCGTTATTTCTTCTACGTAAAATGCAATTCTCTTCCTTTATAAAAGTTGCAAAAACAGTTTGATCCGTTAGTTATGCATTGGAATTGTTGTTTGGTTGGAATGGAATTTGTTCTTGCTGTATGAACACCAAAATCAGGTTTATCTATGTTGCTAAAGGACCACTGGGAATAAAGAAACATAAGGAAAATATCTGCAGATGCAAGGGATTCTAATCCCATTTCCCCCATATTCAATAAAGATCATACAAAAAGAACTAAATACGTCTTGGCAATTTGTTTTATTATAAAAGTAACAAAATAAATTCTCGACAGAATCTTAACAAAGATTAGTATATCAAAATAAACTCTATTCACGAACAACAAGACTATTTATGAAGTGCAGTCAGTAGAGGTCAATATCTAATTATATTCTCGAGGTAAATAAAGACTGGATATTATACTCTCTCACGTTTCGCGTTAACACTTTTTTCTGCCATAGAGAACAATTTTCTGCTAATGAAGACAAAACCCTTTCTAACACGATGTATGTAACCTTCATTTTCGTTGTTTGGTATGGATACATTATTTCCATTAGAGATTTAATTGCCCATGGTGGCTGTTGTTGCTACATAACTATACATTGTACATCACAGTTTGGCATTCTGGAAAAAATATGGCATTTGTTTTCTTAAATCACATTTTCTTAATTAAAAAACAAAGTACAATTTATATTGAACATTTTTTTTAAAAAAAAAGCAGTAAACTAGTGACAAAATACTAGATCACCTAACTAAATTAATGCTGGGACTATGTATGCAATATAAAACACTCATACAATATATTCAATTTTAACAATCATTCAATATGAGTACTATGAACTAAAAAAGAAAAGAGTTAACATTCTCTATATGCAAAGAGCAATGAGAGTAAAATATTCCAATGATTTCATATGAACCAAGGTAAAGAAAAATATAGTCCAATTTTTCAAAACCGGCTAAAAGCAGAAGTGGAACATTCTATACTAGTAATGGGTTCAAAAAAAAAATAGAATTGACATTCCATACCATCAAAGGCACCAAATATTATATTTCATCATTTCTATAACCTGAAGGCAATAATATGGTACAATATACCATACTACATTAAGGCTATTAGTATTAAGCACAAGATTCTAACAGCATAGCTGCAGAACTGTAGCTCTTTTCTATTAAAAAAAACGGACAGACTGTTCGAATTTTCTCAAGCAGAGATTTCTTCAGGGACCAGGGTTAGTATATAGGTCATTGATTTCTGTTGCTACTAATGGCAGTGAAGATGATACAATACCTTACAGGGAACAGAAACAAAAATGTGCAAATATTCCAAAGACAAAAGGATATTTGAACCTTATCTAGTTTTGTACATTTCATATGAGACCCGTCAAATGAATAACAGCTACAGATTAATTCATCAAATGTACTTTGAGGGGGTGTCATGCTCTGGAAGTGTACCATTTTCCATATACACCACTATATAAAATTTCTAAAGGATTTCTATAAGATTTCTAAAATACAGAAATGACAGCATAAAATAATTAACAATTTCATCACAAACAAGCTCAATACCCCTATACATACAAGCTTCAATTCATATCAATTTAATGTTTATGTGAATGTCTGTGAGCAAATGATTATCACAAAGTGCTTGTCAAAAAACAGTGTTAAAACACAAAACAAATACTAACATTAACAATATCAATATTCATATAATAAAATCTTCGTCTTCTTCTTCAGATAACAACATAAGCCTACCGGTTGAATCATTAGATTTTAATTTATCCTGACGAAACAATTGAAAGCCCTTGGTATGGTAACAACATTTATTTGAGCCCCTACAGCATTTACTTGAGCCAGCACAACTTTTAATTTGGCAACAGTGGCAACATTTAGTACAGAAATAGACACTCATGGCAATAATAATGATGAGGAAAACTCCAGCAAATATGGCTACAGTGATGTAATGAAAGGGCAGGGGACAGTTACAGGTATGGTGATTGCTGTAACCCTCGTTACACTCCCAGTTCTTAATCCTAGGACCGTGATGGTGCTGGGTCAACCAAAATTTGTCAATAGTTGTATTAAGGTTGACAGATACTTGCTCAAACAGGAGATGGGTCTCGTTGACCACCATTAACCGTCCGTAGGAATGGCTACTCCTCGTGTCAGCTCTAAAGGCAGACCAAGGCTCTAAAAGGAAAAGTTTTATATTATTATAGAGTACATGTAGTTCAAAAAACGCAACAGAGAGGTGGCAGTCTCAAAGGTATATTTAAAGATTTGTGTATATAGGTATCTTTGAATATTAGTATGTCCGATTTGCTTCATGGTTTCGGGTTATGATCCAATTCATTTTTTGTCAAAATTCCAGACTATATTTCATTCATTCTGGACTACCAGGACAAAAACCAAGTTCACAAGTTAAATTTTCGTTACCAGAGGTAGATGAAAGTCTTCTTTTACAATATCAGATTATGCTTTACATCCACAGCATATATATTACGAAAGTCTTACTAGGTTCTCCCATGTAGTCCACATTCTCCCCACACCCAGCAGCCCCGGAGATCACGTGAACGGGTGCTTCTGGGTCTACATAACTCTTAGATGTCACCTGATAATCATACACCGGCCAAAGACGCTCGTACGAGTGTTCGTGTGCTTGTAAAACAAGATCCACACCTTGGGCGTAAAATAGATCTTCTAGTCTAATAAAATAGAAAAATATATCAGAGTAGAAATCATTTGTGGTGTGTCTATGCAGTATGTGTAAGACAAGGAATATCATTTATTCTTAAATAAATATTGCATGTAGTTGAGTGTACGAGGGCTGTTCAATAAATAATGTCCTCGGTGCTCAGAAAGAAGCAAACGACGCTTTTCAATGATTTAGTCTTCATGATTTTACTTATTAATCTCTTTTTATTCAAACACATGTCTGTAACATTTTTTATCAAATTTCTGATTGTTTTTAGAACTCATTTTTGGGTATGACCCATAGTATACTGGAAAATGGCAGATCCAATGATATAATGGACTTGTTTTTTCCTTCTGAAAGGTGTTTTTTTCAAGTTGGGAAATAGAAACAAGTCAAAAGGACAAAGATCTGGCAAATATTGTTAATGTGAAAAAACGTTAATTTTCTGTATATCACGAAAACCCCCTTTACTCTTCAGGGCATGCGGGTTTGGACGCTGTCATACAGAAATTCAGTGTAGTGGATACCTGATTCCGCATGGGTCCTTCCTCTAATAAACCTTCCGATTTTTTTGCAAAAAAATTGCTTTCTAGACTCCTCCAGATATTAAGCTGTCTCCCCGAATACGAATTTGAACAACAATACCACTAATATTTAAGAAAATTGCATATAAATCTGTCTTTGTGCTCTTGCATAACTTTGCTTTTGTCAGATCTTCGCCGTTTTTATCAAGTACATCTTATGGTAAATTTTGTTTTGATGATTTTAAGCAATGGATTCATGTTCCAATATCTGTTTGAATATAAAACAAACGTGGATAACTACAATTACTGATATTCTAAAATAATTGTTAAGACTTTCTTACACACTGTCGTTTTCACTCATTTTTCAAAATATAGGGTGACCTTTGAGTACTAAGCTTTTTTACTGTCAAATGTTTCTTACAAACAATGTAATTTACTTCCGATATGATGTCTATCAAATCTGCTATGTGTCTTAAAGTCAATCATATATCACCAAATATTATTTTTTAAAATTTGGCAAACAGTACATAAGTTGTTATAATTTTTGTTGGCAAGGAGGGTACCCATTTTTGATGCCCATTATATAATTTTTTATTATTGTAATCCACCTGCTCATTTGTCTATAAAACAGGCATCGGTTGCTGTAAATGACACATATTTCAGTGAATATTTCTTTGGGATTTTTTACAAGTTTTACAGCAGCTTTAATGTAGCCTTTATTTCACTCTAGTTTACTGTTTCTTTACCATTCATTTATAATGCAGTGTCTCGAATAGCCCTTGTTTCCCAGCTTCTCACGATGAAACTATCCGATGAAAAGTGGTTACGTATACATAAACTGTTTTAAATTCAGTAAAGATTCAATAATAAGAGAAAGTCAAGTTTAATGTTATATGATATCTGTATTGTATGTCATACAGTTCAGGACATTATTTATTGAACAGCCCTCGTAACATTGAAAATTTTCACCCAAAGAAAACCATTGTCATTCAACTAAGGCGCAGCCGAGGTTAACAATGGTTTTCGAGGGATGAAAATTTTCATTGTTACACTCAACTACATGCAATTTTTATTATATTATACTGCATGTTTAATACAAATACATGTACATATAACAGTGAACCGTGCGCGCATAAATTCTGCGCAGTCGCTATTTTTTGGAATATCACCCGTCGTCAAGCAATGTTTACGCTGGAGGTCGTGGCTTCATTATTCAGCGGGTAATAGTATTTTTTAACAAAATGTTTCTCGACCAATCAGATTCAACTAATTTACATGAGAGTATAATATTTATAACTATATAAGCCTTTCCTACATGTACTATACATTCAATTTGGGACATAAAACATGCTCAGCTAGGTTCAAAATGGTTACTTTATTCCAAGATGATAGTTTACAAGCTATGAGAGTCACAGGGGAATGTTATTTATAATTTATAACTTTAATAAAATTTAAAGAAATAGTGAAGTCATATTTCAAAAGACATACTGATTTTTTTTTTTTTTTTTTTTAAATAATCAAATTAATCTCGACTTTTA